CTATAGGGACACTAAGTAAAATATACCTTTTACAAATTGATTCATTTTCATCATTATTTGTTATTATATAATGAATAACATTATTCTGTAATGAAACAATTGACAACAGTATAGTTAGATAAGTCCCCCCAGTATCAAAATTCAATACTGAATTAATCACCGTATCAATGAGAAATAAATAATTCTCTACATCTGGATGCTTAACAATTTTTCTATTAACAGATGTTAATTAACCTAATTCTTAGCATTTTGGCCAAATACTTAATATATATACTCATAATTTGAAACTATTAACACTATACACACAAAAATAAAGTGAAAATCAAGTTGAATTCAAGTCTAACACGGTTTAACATAAATCTTAGTCATTCAGTAACAACAAAACATGACTATTAGAATATCTGTTTCCCCTTTCCTGTGTGGTATACTTATGTATCACTAATAACACTATAAATGTAAAAATTTTAAAACTTTAAGTACATAGCTATAAACTGATTGAACTAAATATTTCAGGGATGATAATTCCTTCAATCATGTCATAAACACATTAGTACCGGCCAATATCAAACCACACCTGATGGACAAGGCCCACAATGAAATGTTCCAGGAAGATTAATACAAGTAACTGGAGGATTGCGAGAGCACACTGGATGAGATTCCAAACATTCATCCCTGTCAACAACACATGCTGGATTATGACCATTAGTAGTCCAGCCCTGGTTGCATATACATGTATATTTGGCCTGGGAAAAAAATAGATATATATTCTGATATTTTTCTTTTATTTTCCAAAATGTTTTACTTCATTTATCTACGAAATGTGAACGATTATATTCTTTGATGGTACATCAACATCTCAAGCATTATATCTTTTATGAAATATCAACAAATAATTTTCAGAATCCATTGAGCTGATAGACAGAAAATAAAACCAAAGACTCCAGAAGCTGAATTAAAGTAAAATAAATCTGACTGTAAAGAAAATCAATACATTTCTTAAATAATTAATTTATGCTGTTAAAATATTAAAATTATGATGATGCTCCTTGTATAAAATTTTTGTAAAATGTAAAGTAAGGTTATAATAATCAATAGCATTATCTAATTATGTGCAAATGATTAATTGTTACATAAAGGAATTAATTTCATATATCCTACTGTTTACATATTTCAATTCATTAACTGCATATCATATTATCTTCAGTATTATCTCCTTTATCCTGTCTAGCATTTTACAAGCAATTTTGCACACTTTTAGAGTGAAAAAAACAACATAAAACCAAATGTTAATTTTACTTTCAAAAACATAGTTTATATAATGACCTTTTTAATATAATTGCCCAATAAATGACTTATAACATTCAAATTTAGAACTTATATTTTAATACTCAGCATCTAATAGAAACACTGAATTTCACATTGAACAGCAATAACTAGCATCTTAGGATGTCAATTACAAAGAAGCACTTACTTGTCCCGACTGATCTCGTTTTACGTTGATACAGGTCCCGTGACCACACAGTGCTTCATTTGATGCTTGGTTGCAGTCATTGTGCTCTTCTGTGCAATGAACTCCGTGCCAATTTGCTGTGCATTCACATCTTGCAGGAAAAGTCAGAAAATATATTAAATTAACCAGTTTTATGTTTCATCTATACACAATTAGTGTTACAAAAGTCATATTTAAAAGGAACATAAATTTAAATATGCCCTCATTTTCTTACAGGGTGAAATTGGAGTTTATGCTAAGTTAAACAGTTTTATGCTTGATGTAGATGTGAGCCTCCTATAAAAATAGCATAAATATAAGTTGTCAAAGTCCTTGTCTTTCATTTTCTTACTCTTGCAGTAATTTTAAAACTTTTGACATTTGCATATTATGTACAATATTGAGAATGATTATGGAAACACAGAAATGATATAAATACACGAGTCACAAACGATGAGTTATTGTAACTAACTGGTCAATTTATCATTAGTATAATACATTATTATAGAAAATAAAAATAAAATAATCTGGATAATGAATTAGTATTCTATATTTGATTCTAAGAGAGCAGTACACCTTGTTGTTATGCTACCATAAGTTTGTTTGTTTTTAATTTTGTGCAAAGCTACACGAGGTCTATCTGCACTAGCCGTCCCTAATTTAGCAGTGTAAGACTAGAGGGAAGGCAGCTAGTCATCACCACCCACCGACAACTCTTGGGCTACTCTTTTACCAACGAATAATGGGATTGACCGTCACATTATAATGCTACCACAGCTGAAAGGGCGAGCATGTTTGGTGGGATGGGGATTCGAACCCATGACCCACAGATTGCGAGTAGAGCTCCCTAACCACCAGGCCATGCCGTGCCATGCTACCATAAGTTAATCAATGTATGATTGTGAAATATTATTCCAATTATCCTGTATTAATAATTTAGCCAAGCTGTTTGGTTGCCCTTTGACCTTCTAAGATTCCATATAAGCCTGTACAGTCTTAATAATATTCATACTGGGACTACATTGCCAAACTATAATGTTTTACTAGTCTCTTTTCACTATCATGTATCATTTCAACACATTTGATGCGTGCTTGGGATCCCTGCTCAATAGGTCTTTTTTCCTCGGAGATTGACATGATGCACAAAAATCTTGCACCAATCGTGGTGTCATCAATTTTGTATGAATCTACACCACCATTAGCTGACATGCAGCCCATGCTTACAAGTCCCCAAGTATGCTTCATTGTAGATGTTGTACAATGACCCTGCTACCTATACTTACTCTGCTGTTATAAAACAAATCATTGTTGTCAAACAATTTGAATTTGGATTCATCTGTAAAGAGAACCTTCCTCCAGTTTTGCTCATACCATTGTTTGAAGTCTGATGCCCATTTCTCTCTCTCCTAAATAGCCGTTTTTGAGCAGCTACACATTTAGTGAGGCCACCTCATGCTAATGTGTATCTTAATGTTCTGGAGGCAACATTCACACCCCTACTTACAGCTAGGGCAAAATCTCTACTGGATTGTCATGTATCACATAAAGAACATAATTTAACATTGTCTCTAAAGAGTGTGAGATTTCTACCTAAACTGATCAACAGTACTAGTTTTATATGCCCTCTTTGGAGTTTTCAAACAACTCCTACTTACGCATGAAATTTCACCTCATTTGTTTCATGGTGTAACCTTCCCCAGCTAAAATTTTGATTTGTACATGTTTCTCATGTGTCATTTATGTTCTTGGAGCCATGAGTGCATTACCACACTACTGCTGGGAATAGTATTAGTACCTTTACTTTTAAAGATATTATAACACTGTCTGACTGGTTGGATGACAGCCAATCATAGTGTAAACTTCAACATGTCACACACTACTCTGGTGCAGTTCATTTTCATACAATGGGGAGGAGAGAAATGTCATAATATTAGTATTCTATTCACCTTTTCAGTAATTATTTCCAATGCTGTAAATGTATATATAATGTACAGGCTGTAAAAAATACATTTAATACATACTTAAACTGTAACTAACAAATAATTATGACTACCAGGATAGAAAAAAAAACAATAATTTTCTAACAACAGAAAGAATATTACAACTACCATAATATCCTTTCTGTTTTTAGTCTTAAAATGTCATGAGTTTGCATACTTCCAATATCATATATCAATTTCATCAACCCTATCAGATAATTCACAAAACTGATTTAGTTGCAAACAACGGATACACAAGCAACTTTTTATTCTCACACTCGGGAAAATAAAAACAGGTTTCATAATAAATTATCATGAAACCTCATTTGAACCAAGTAAAATGTAAATCTTCGAGGAGAAGCATAAGCATTCAATATTTGAGTTCACAATAGAAATTACTTGAGATTATTAAATGGTAATTAAACTTTTTTAATAGCATTCATAATTCAGAAATATGATAAATGAAAAAAAATTAAGTACAAAACAAGTAGGTACATTCTATAATCTGTTGTTTTTTTTCATACTTTTGTTTCTGGAATACAGAAATAACATTATACTACAACCTTAGCATTTTATTATTAATTTCCATGATCCCAAAAGTCATTCAGTTCTTCCTAAAATCTCCCCAAATTGAGCACCAAACACATTTAAAGAACAGGAAAATATCTTAATGTCAGCAAAGCTTTAATTATTTTTTTAGTGTATTTCAGAAAACGAAAAGCAGTCATTGTGAATAGGAATTCCTAGCTGAAAAACACAAGTCCCTGTTTTTCTGCATATTCCATATAAATTTATATTCACTATAATTCTAAGTACTCACAAGATTGTCGAAGATGAAAACAGTCTGTTTTCTTACGGGTAACAAAGAATCGCTACAGAAATATTATTTAAACTAATTTTTATTTTAATTCCTAAAATCTTTTACCTATGTTCTGACAAACAAAAAATGAGTACTTTTTCCTGCAATTAATTAAGTAGCATTAAAATTACACATGCTTAGAAACACAAACAAAGAATTAAAACTAATAAAATTTTTACACAGCATTACACAAAAATGTTGAAAAATTTCATCAACCTGTAACTTCCGTGAGTGTTAATACACTGTGCTCCATTCTGGCATCCTAGATCCGTACCAATAAATCGCGCACATTCATTTACATCCTGCTCACAGTTTGAACCCTAAAAAAAGAAAAAAAAAGAATGCACATGTCTGACTAATTATGTGATATTCGCATCACAACAAATGAAAGACATTTTCTTATTTGTATTTATAAATAGTTTAAATATACTATGAATTAAAATAGTATTTTAAACACACAAATAAAGAAAGAAAAGTGTTCTGTTGTGGTTTATATATAGGTTTAGGAAGACACTTGATTAGATTAGTGACTGTGTTTGGTTATGTATTATAACAATCACACAGTTTATCTGTGTTGTCTTTCATTGGGAAAGTTATCCTTGTCTAATGCTACACTGTTTCCCATACCTGTTAAGTTGAAATTTGATACAAACACCATCACAATTTTCTCTTTATAGTGGAATGAGACAACATTTTTCAACAAGAGTGAAAATGAACAATTCTTTTAGTTACTGCATGACACAACAGTATCTGCCATCTCTACTTTAGCTACATAAACATTAAATAATGTGTAATACTTATTAAAAAACAGTTTACAAGTTTGAAAACACGTTATAAACCAGTCATTTTCCATCTAATACGGTAAGTATATTACAACATACACATGGCCACTTCCCAAAGTTCCAGATATCTGGTTGGTACTAAAATCAAACGCTATTTCACAAACAAATATAATTGAACAAAAAACATAATTAAAAAAGACAATATAAACCTACAAACACATCACATACTGCTTAGCCAAGACAATGAAGCAGATGTCAATCAACTTGGATTCCCCTACACAACACAAATTAACAAATATAGACATAAACAATTCTTTCACTTTCTCATGGTTAAGTCTAACTTCTATTCAACTAGGCTTAACCTCTGTATTCTCTTCTTCTTTACAACATAAACATCATTTTTACTAGATTTTGAGTTATTAAAAAAATTATTTTCCACACCAACTATCTGCTACTCCAGTGTGTAATCATATTGATCTTAGATAAACCATGTGAAATCTGTTTCCAAAACTTTAACAACTCATTAATAACTACATTAACTTCCTTGAAGTCAATATCTATTCAACTTTCCTTTTCCTCAATGACTAAGACTAATTACACGTATCTATAGTTCAATCACACATATATTTTACAACAATCTTCGTTATCTGAGAGAACCATGCATAGAGTTGGGTATGTTGTTTTGGTCTGTTATAAAAGAAGATGGGGATATTAACACTAGAATACATTAACATATTAATAACATTTACAAATAGTATATTTTCATAAAACTTAAAAATTATGATGAAGTTCAAACTTAAGCTGTAAGTAGGGCTAGATGAATATTAAACCAACTAAAACATAGATACTAAAATAACAGAATTATCAATAACAAACTTCTGAAAATGATAAAAGCCGGTTAAATCATACCTCATAACTAGGAAGACATCGACACAAATACCCATTGTATGTATCGAAACATGATCCTCCATTCTGGCAAGGATTACTGCTACATTCATCTTGATTAAGAAGCTATGTGAGAAATAATTTTTGGAAGTTATTACTTATCTGGGCGAAATCTATATTACTACATGATTATAAACATGTATTTCATCAGGATAGTAATCTTAGTAATTTTTTTAAATCTATATGTTAATCATTAAGTTCTTTCAATCTGGAAACAAAACAAAAAATTAAAACATCATAAAAAATTACCAAGCTATTTAAATTGATTCAGATACACAGACAAATTTTAGAAAATCTGAATAAATAATTACAGATTTATTTAAATTAATTCAAAAATAAAGATGAGTTTTTTAAACATCGGGATAAATCATTACAAACCTTTTTCAGTTGATTCATAAATACAAAAAGTTTTAATACATGAGGACAAATCATTAAAAAATAATGTTAGTTGATAAAGAAATAATATGCAATTATAAAGATAAAATGAAGTTTATAGAAGACATATATTAAGTCTAAACTATTTCAAATATTATTCTACTAAATCAATTTAATCTTCTATTACCCTTTAAGTATGATTGTAATAATATTTCTGTATTACATTACACACTAATTTTCCATTCATTCAAACACTTACATTTGTAAGCCTCTGTATTTTCCGTTGTAAGGCTCGATACTGGAAAAAAAGAAATTTTCACTTATTTGTAGAGCAAGTACAAAATATGAATAAGTAACTGTAGGTACTTAGATGAAGAAAAAAGCAATTGTTATACTTAAAACTTTTAGGAAAATCCTAATATCTATTGCATATTACTCACTAAAGAACAAGTATAAAGTGCATCAAGAACATATATATTACAATGTATCGTTAATAATGTACTAAAAACTCTTTTTCAAGAACAAATTTAAGAAAATAGTAGTGTGTCTAAGTGACTTAACAGGTAGGTATGTAGTAGCATATCAGAATAATTTTTTTTTATGGAAAACTGAAAATTATAAGGGGATGGCCAAGAAACTGATATTATAATAAAACATATCACTTGGAGGAGAAATCTTATTTAAAAAAAAACAAAAGATATTTATGAAACTAATTTAAATTCTTTCTAACATGAAATTAGATAATACATGGTTATTACAACTACATGTATATAATATAAATTTGTAAAGTATTCGCAATTTGGTCATCTTGCAAGTTAATTCCAGCAAGTTGAAAGACTGAATAAACAAAGTGGAACAAATATATAACATTTTTTATTCAAAGCTTTCACCAATCAAATCAAAATGTGTAACAATATTAAATCTAAAATAAGTAAACCATAGCAAGCTTAATATCGTGTTTACCCTATAAAATACTATGAGTTATCTAACGAATCAGGGGATTCACATGTAATTATGAATTTTCCATCTAAAGATGAAAATTTGGAGCAGAATGGAAAATAGCCCTCCTCCACCTTAAAGAAGGTTAAAAAATAGCCCTCCTCCATCTTAAAAAAGGTTAAAAATAGCCCTCCTCCACCTTAAATAAAGTTAAAAAAA